TAATATTCACATAAATTTATGCGTTGTTTCATCATCTCAGGAATAAGAATTGTCGCATCCGGTGGTGTGACAACTTCATTGGGTAAGAAGAATTACTACCTGACTATTAATGCGTAAAAGAGCACTTGCATTTGTAACTATTTGGAGATAGGCGTATTTTTCTAAGCGAGCAACCATTAGCTGGGACAATATAGAAACTCTGAATTAGTTTAAGAATCATGATATAGTTCTACCTGGTAGCGCTAATTTGATGGGCGGTGAAGGCTTTGTTATTAAAATGCGTTCGGTCGATACTCTGTCGGTGGATGATATGGGAATTAATGCAAATATCGATCCTGAAAAAGAGAGAGCTTGGCGTTGGTTAAAAATGGCTTGTGGTGAAAATGTAAAGGTACTCATTGACATCTATTTATTTTATCATATTTTATAATTCGCATGTTGATTAATTTCTTGCCAAATAAAGAGGAATTATGGTTCCGTCGGACGAATACCTTCTACACGGTTGGGAGAAGCATGGCTCTTCCGTAAACTCTTTAATGAGGCACAGGTGTTGATGCAAAAACAAGATGATTGGTGTAAAGCTGCAGAAAAATTAAGTTACGGCGAACGATTGAATTCATATTTTCCGGAAGATCTTCGACTTGAAAGTTTGGTGGCATTATTAAGAGGCGATGTAAAGTTGAATGTCCACTGTTATGAGGTTTGTGGTTTATGGTTATTGTCAAAATATATAACCAAATGTTTAAAAACTTTTAATATAATATTCTTATGTAGACCCATGATATAGAAGCAATTATTCGACATTCTTTGGAATTTAATTTTACTATTACAGCTTTACATCATGCGTTAGATGCTTATCGTATTACTGAAATTATTAAAAAACGTGTAAAGAATAATATTACAATTGCAACATTTTCTAACTTGTGGGGCTACAAGAAGGAAGCATTTCAAGCTAGTACAAAGTCTTTGAAAATTTTAGCTGATGCACAAATTCCTGTAGCTATAAAAACTGATCACGGCATAATAAATGCGGTAGATTAATAATATTATTATATATGTTTTTGTTTCTTGAAATATCTTTAAAATATTATATTTGAATTATAGCAAACTTTGATGTTTGAAGCTTCCAAGGCAAATTATTATGGTCTTGATGAACATCTTTCCCTTGCAGCCGTCACATCAGTGCCTGCAAAGGCTCTTGGTTTAGATCATCGCATTGGCCAAATTTCAAAGGGATATGACGCTGATGTTGTGGTAATTATGGATAAATGGATATTCAATGTAGATTGAGTTTTATAAATATTTATTTTTTTATGATTAGGTGTGGGATTCTTATCCATTTGATTTGGGTGCAACTCCATTAGAAGTTTATATCGATGGAATTCCTCAATTTAATACTTCTTCATGTGTACTTGGAAATGTTTCAGTAAAAGAAATCCCATCAAAATTTATACCGAAGTCAAATTTTACACGAGAGCCTGCAAAATCACAATTAACCTCATCTGTTGTGTTAAAAAATGTTGGCAAGATTTTTGTTGATAAGAACCATATAATTGATACCACTTCATCGACAAAAGGAGATATTAGCGTGATAGTTAAAGATGGCATTGTTGAATGTATTGGTATTAATTGTACAGAACCAGATAATATTTCATCGTATGAAGTAATTGATTTAAATGGTGGATATGTATTACCAGTAGGTTTTTTTTTTGTTTTAAATCTTTTCTTTTGCAAAATTTGAAGTTCTAATAATAAGCATAAACCTATTCAATTTAAGGGATTCATTGCTGTTACGCCATCTCTAGGATTATCAGAGATCGATAGTGAATCCTCCACAACAGATGGTAGAGTAACAGCTGTATCCAATTCCAACAACGCTGAAAAAATTATTTACGCAATCGATGGATTGAAATTGGGAGGCAAACATTTAGAGGCCGCATATAAGGCTGGATTACTTACTGCCGTCACAGCACCTCTCTCGTCTAAAGGCGTGCTTATTGGGGTTTCTATGGCATTTGAAACCGGCGCTAGCTCTGGTATAATATTTTTAAGAATTTTATCTTGCCGATTTTTAAGCAAATGTTCACTAGATGTTTTTATTTCTTTAATAAGTTCTAGATTATGATCCTAATCCGATTGTTAAGGAACATGTAGCACTTCATGCTCAGATAGGGACTGAATTCAAATATAGTAATATAAATTAATTAATTATATATCTATTTAATTTTATTAATTACTTATTCATAAGATTATTTTTAATGAACAGCCACCATACCGACAGTCTCAGGTCAGATTGCTTTGATAAGAAAAACCTTGATAAAAAATTTAAAGCAACATAATATCTTTGGTCGTGCTGCACGAGGAGATATCCCTTTAGTTGTACAAACTCACAGCAAAGATGAAATTGCTTCATTGATCCGATTGAAAATTCAAATTAAAAATCATGGAGGACATTTAAACCTTGTGATATTGGGTGGTACTGAAGCACATATGCTTGCCGTTGAATTGTCTAAACATAAAATACCTGTAATACTTATCCCATCCCGACCTACTCCAAAGTCATGGACGGCTCAACATGCATTAACAGGAGCACCTATTACCAGTACAACCGGAATTGAGATACTTCATGCGAATAAAGTTATAGTAGGAATAGGTGTAATAGAAACAGGTTTGGAAAGAAACTTAATTTGGGATGCTGGTTGGGCAGGTATAAATTCTAGAGGGGTTATTTCCGAAAAAGATGCGCTTGGGTTTATTTCGTGGAACTTGGAAGAAATTTTTGGCTTAGATGGGAGAAACAGAAAGTTAATGAAAGGCAACCTTGCAAATTTTGTAGCATATGATGGGAATCCTTTTGATATGAAAACAAGGTTGAAAATTGTTGCTGGAGGTGGTAAGAGGAAAATTCTTATTGATCCTCAACAAGATTAGTGAGATATGAAAAGATTTAAAGGTAGTGTGTAATATTTTAAAATTATATATAAACTTAATGGTATATTTTTTTTGTAATTTCAATTACAAAAATTTTTACTAATTAAATATTTTTTGAGCTTTTAAGTAAACTTGTAGTGTAGATTCTTGTCATTCTAACAGTAGTAAAATTATTAAATTTGGTTTAAAACTCATCGATATATGAATTTTTAAAGATTAGATATAAAAATTTACTATTAAAATTTTTTTATAGTTTTTCAAAAATTAGCTAATTAAATTGATTTTTTTATGTAACTAGGGAAAAACATAATGTTTATAGAAAATTCAAGATATATACAAATATAATTTTTTTAAATTAAATATCTTATAAAATTTTAACATAATAAATAACTTATTTAAATTTATATATTATTAAATTTTTATAAAAATTAATTAAAAAATAAAAAAGTTTTTTTAGTAACATATTTTAATTTATTATATAAAAAACTATTATACTATCTAGGTTATATGAAAAATAATCTATATACACCTTATTTTTAATAGTTGTTAAAATATTACACATGTCTGAATAATATTAATTATTAGTATCTATATAAGTTTTTAGAGTTTTAGTTTGTGTAAAGGCTATATGAGGCTAAAGTAATAGTATAAAGTCTTTAACAAGTCAGGTTTTTTAAGATTCTAAAATATATAAAAGTATAGATTGTTTTATTTAATAAAGAAGAAAACTAATATCTTTTTTAATAAAGTAATATAAAACTATAATCTGTTTTTCTTTATTTTTAACTATTATTAATACTTGAATTCTATTTAGTTAAGTAAGATATTATTACTTGTTTTTCTAATTTATATTTTATATTATAGTTCTGATTATATAAAATAAATTATTAACTCTACTTTAGTATTAGTTATTGACTTTCAAATTTAGAAAATATAAGCTTTAATTATAGTTTTATTTTATTTTATTTTATTTTTTATTTTTTTTATATTAAGATAGCTTCCTTTGCTGATTAGATTTTATTAGTTTGTTATTATAGAACTACTACAAGAGTAGACTCCTAAGATTTTATAGTTATATAATGAGTATACAACAAGCTACATATATAACTTTAGTTATTGTCTAATTTAAGTAATCTGCTATATAGATAATTAACTATCTATTAGTTCTACACTATATTGCTATATCTACAACTCACTTATGAGTTATCTATTTAAGCACTCTGATCATTAACTCTTCTTCTATTCCAAACTAATATCACTACTATATCTGACTGCTTAAGCTAGCTGACTTGCCTATAGATCTATTTACTACATGATTTAGGTTCTTTCAGAATATATTTGTCTAATATATTGTAAGCTGCAAAGCTCTAATTAATCTTAGAAGCATATCTACTAGAGTGATCTGTGTCTATTTCACAGATTCACCTAGTTTAAATTCTTGTGATATTCATACAACTTTAGTTCCTATTGTAGCTTTCCACTAGTTTTATATTTGCTAATTTTTTTGAATATTTTATGAGATAGATCCTTCTAATCCAGTTAGCTACTAAGCCAAGTTGGTATTGCTAATTCTCTCTGTAGAACACACTTATTCACACCTAATTCAATCTATATTTTCTGAGTAACAGTTTTTTTTTCAGATTAAATATTAGCTAGTATAACTATCAAAAGCTATACTACTTCACCAACTAGAGGTTTTACTATACAGGTTCTCTGTCTATAGATCTTATTAAGATTTATTTGTATAATATTATGTAATACTTCTAATATTTGATCAACTTAGTACAACTCAATTTACAGAGTTATAACTCCAGAAACAAACAGAGTTTATTATAAGATAAGTACAAAGGTCTAGATAATTATTCAAATTCATCAATAGTAGGATTTAAACCTCAGACCTCTTGTATAGCAGTCTGGCAATCTAACTACTATACTAAGATTGTCAAATCCTAATTATAGTTTTACTATTTAACTTTTAAATAATACTAAATATAAAATAAAGTTAGTAGTTACTCAGCTTAGAAGTTATTACTTTATATAAAAGTAAAATAAAAAGTTCAAGTATTTAGAATCTAAGTTTCCAAATAAGAAAAAATAGGTTTCTAAATTTAAAAAAATCTGAGTTTATAATATAAAAGTCTTATTTTATATCTAAGCTAAATTTAAGTAAATTTAAGTTATCAAACAAAATCTAAGTTTAAGACTATATTTTAGAATAAATATAATATAATAAAGAGTAAAAAATAATTATAATAATTATATTTAAACAAAATATACTATGCTAACTACTAGAGTTTTAGAATTATATAAGAAAAATTATATATGGTCTTTAAAAAAAGTAAAAATAATTTTTTTTTTATAATATCATAGTAAAAACTTTAAAAAAATAGAATATATATTTAAAATTTAAAGATTTCTAACTATATTTGAATTACAGTATATAAAATCTAAGATATCCAATATAATATTATATCTCCTATTTTCTAATTTATATTATATTTAATTATTTTAAATTAGTTTTAGCTAGAATAGATTGAGGAAGATCTGAGATATTAGTTATAATATTATAATATACAAGTTGTTAGAGAAAATCTTTGTAGAAACTATTTTTCAATTTCAGATTTATAATTTATTATTTGAATAGATATTGTATTAGTATTTGGTCTATTAAATAATATTAAATAAGAAAATTTTTGTATTTAGATTTCTTAGTAATATTTTAAATAAGTTTTTATTAGTATTAATAATAATTTTGTTAAGATTATATATTATAATAGAGCTAATTAAGTAGACTATTAGATAGATTTATAAAAAAAGAATCTGTTTGTTTTTGAATAATATTTTTAATATTAGTAAATATTATAAATAAAAAGATACTAGTTATTAATAAAAGTATGTAGTAATAATAAGAATTTGAAGAATTATTAATTATATTAATTAATGATTATTGAATATTTGAAATATTTTTAATACAAAGAATATATACTATATCTTTAGTAGTTAGATATTATGTGTAGTTAGAAGTTTTATATAAGTAAGAATAATAAGTATTTAAATTTTGTATTGTAGGTAAATAATTTGTTAAAATTTTAATATAAAATATATATATTTGTAAGATATGTTCTAAGAAATTTAGTATTTTGAATATAAAAGCCTATTTTGTTTTTGTATTGTTTTAAAAGAATTTTAAAGATATTCAAGATAAGAATTCTTTAATATAATTATAATTTAATAAAGATTTAAATTTTAAATAGTATAAAATAGTTATTCTAAAGAAAATAAGTAAAAATATTAAAAAAAAAGAGTTCAAGAATAGATTTAGTAGTTTTTTATTTGACAAGTAAATCTACTTAATTGTAAAAAGAATTTGTAGAGTATAATTTAACTTTAGTAAGTGTAAAAATAAGGTTTTTAGTTTTTTTAAGTGAATTAATAATTTGTAATATATTTTGGTTTTTATTTTGAATTAGTTTAGTAGAAGAGATATTTATTAAATTTTTAATTACTATTATACTATTTAAGAAAATAGTTAAAGTTGAGTTTGTTAGAATAGCAAGTAGAAGTATAATAATTGAGAATAATTTAATATGAGTAGAGTCAGAATAAGAGAGAGATGCTATATTAAATTTAATAGATATATTGTTCTTACAAATCTATTCTACATTTGCTTGAATATTAAAAGTTTGTATATTTTTAATTAAAGTATTTGTATAGAAGTATTAATTGTTTGAGTTCAAATTTTTAATAGATTGAAAAAGGTTAGTTAATTGATTTTAGCAGATAAATAAATTAATAGTTTGTTATATGAGTTGTATTTCAGGAGATGCTAAGTTTATTTGTAGTAATATTTGAGAAATTAGTTAGTTTTTAATAATGTTATAGATATGAATAAGAGCTAAAATTTATTTGTAATTTATTTAAATTAAAATTAAATTGTTGTATTTATTGATTTGAGTATAAGGAAGATTGAAAATAAAGAGATTTGAATTTAGTAGTGATAGTATTTGTATTAGTTGAATTTGTTTAGAAAGTATATTTATAATATAATAAAATAAAGTTCATTAAGAGTTAAGATAATAAAAGATAAAAAGGTTTTGATTATTTAAAAAATAGAGTTGAATAGAAAATAGTTTAAAGAAGAGTTTGATAAAATAAAATTAATTGTATTAATAAAGAAATTAATTTTAAATAAGTTTAGTTGTAACTAAGTATTATATATTATATTAGTTTGAATATATTATGATATTTGTTTAAACTAGTTAGATATATATCTTCTAATTAGTTTGTTTGTTTAAAAATAAATATTATTCTATAATAAGAAATAATTATTATCAGCTATAGTAATTTGTTTGACAAATAGAATTTTATTATTTTTAAAACTACTAGTGATTAAACTATTATCAACTGTAGGATCTACCTCTTCAAAGATTCCTAGTAACTGCTAATTATAGTATGAAAACTATAATATTTTACAGCTTTAGATAGTAACAGACATCCAAAAAAGATTTAACAAAGAGGATTTAGATGATAAGGCAATTAAAAGAAGCAACATACTTAAATATATATGAAGATATAAGTAAATATTCACACACTAAACATTATCTATCAATATAGTTAACAGAATTCAACTAATATAATAGTTGAAAGATAATTATAACAGTATTATAAATGAGTTTATTCAGTAAGTAACTCCTAAGAGAATATATATTTAAACCAAATCAAACTTCAGAGCTTTGGAAAAGTCAAAAGCTAGCTCTTTTATAGATATTTTACATGTATAAATAATTATAATACTCTAATTTAAAGACTATAGTTAAT